TGCACCAGTCCCCACTTTTCTATTGTGCAGGCCAAATCCTGCCTCCGTTCCCTCCTCTAGAATAGAGGTAGCATGACTTAATCTGCTCTGGAGTCGGCAAGGTATAGCAGCACCTCTATGGGACTGTGCAGCACTAGGGCATGGGGATGGGGGCAGGAAGGGGCCCCATCCACTGCAATTCCTGAGTGCGTGAAGATGGCTCCATTCAGCTGGAGGGCGCGCACGTGCGGCTGAGGCCACTGTCCCCTGCACTGGCTGAGCAGTGCAGGGCTGCTGTTTGTGTTTGTGCTCCCAGTGTTTGTATTTACATTTGGGAATGCCTCTGGGAGCCATTCCTGGGACTGGAATAACACACTCTGGCCCTGGTATTTCAGCCCTTGGATGGCCCTAGTGGAAGTGCTAGGACAGGGTCACATTCCATGGTCCCTTGGCCTCCCAGACCGCCCCTAATGGTTCCCCAGGGTATTCCCAATGCAAAGATGCGGTCCCAAGCAGTAGCTTTATTTACGCTCAGCCTACTCCTGCCACAGTTGCCCGTAGCCTGCTCCCTGCCGAACCTGGAGGCATAGCACCAGAATAGCTTCTGCCCTGTGTGCGAGGAGAGGCCAGAGCACCCACCACAGCCAAACCACAAGAATATGAGCAGCCCGGCCACACAGCACTCACGAGGCAAGAACCGCGAGCGAGAAGAGCTCATCCGCCCTTCGCATGGAACGGCTGCCAAACAAAGCCAAGGGCATCTTGGCACCCTTGCTCTGCCTTGTCGTCACCTACTAGGTGACCAACAAGTGCTGAGCAGGGTGTTTTAAGAGTCAGAACAGTCACTGGAAAGATTTTAAGCAAACAGTGACGTTATAACAGAAACTCAGAGGAGCCCTGAATCCAGAGGCAAGAAGGGATGGATCTGACTGTTGGCATAATACAGAGCAGTTTCACCGGTACACGTTTTACTTCCACAACCAGGCTGCCTGACAGCTAAAGCCAGGACGTCTAAAACAATATAGCTAAAATAAGAGCCACATCCTGACATATCTGGGCAGCATGGAGGAAGTAACTCCTGTCTCCACTTCATATGCCACTGTGATGAGGCCACTGTGTCTGCCTGACCAATGCACCCCACCCTCATTGCTTACTTCTTGCCTTTTCTAACATGGCTTTCACTTTGTTCTTGATACCCCCAACTAGGGAGGAGCTCCTTGTAAACACCCACAAAGCTGCTCTCCTTGTCTTCCTTGAAATCCCTCTTGTAGGCCTCCTCTGCTATGATGCCTATAGTCCGAGTGTGGGTGGTACTTAGAGCACTGCCTCTTGCCAGGACCTATTCTTTCTTACTGTTTCCCCGTTCCCTCATCTATCTGATGCTATCTCTCTGTCATCTTCTGTCTTACACACAGGACAGGCACTGCCTTCATGTTCTGTGGCTGTACAGTGCCTAGCACACAATGGGGTAGTGGACCAGGACTAGGTTCCTACATGCCAAGGTATTATTAGAGTGAATGACATACATGGCTTACTTTTGTGGATGTGGGAGCTGGTTTCTTTTGAAAATGTGGCTAATAAAAGGCATTTATTGGGATAACCATATAGAAGTTTCTGTATTGGCTAAAATCTGGAGGGGGGCATACTGTGCCTGCCAGAGCAGATTGGAGCAAGGGGTTCAGGTGAGCTGGTAGAAGCTTTGGGTGAAGTGCACAGAATGGGGTAGGGATGCTGCATCCCACATGGTTTCTACCTGGTTTCTAATGGTGATCAGCTTAAGCCCTGATGCACTAGCCTTAATATTCTGGCTAAACAGTTTATTTGTCATTTTGATAACATTGGTATTATCTAGTACTTAGAGCAATGGGCTAGGAAGGGGACACAAATCCTGGCTCATCCCCTAGACTGTGCCACTGAGTTCCTTAAGTCACTGCCCTACTCTGTGCCTCAGGGTCCCCATCTGTAACATGGGGATAATGATCTTGACCCACCTATGTGAAGTGCTTTGGATGGAAGCTACTATAGAAGGGTAAATCTTCCTCCTACCCCACTCCACTTAGAAGACGTCTGCTCTACACCTCTGTCTCACTGGGCTTCAGGTGTCACGGGTACAAAACAGGAATTGCAGTGAGGGAGAGTGCTCCCATTCAGAGACGGTGTCCAGACCAAGGGGGGAACATCTATCACCCCAGGGGGGTCTCTGACAGTAGGAGCTTCTAACCCTAACACACCTTGTAGCTAGCAATAATCCCATCTGCACATGAGCGTTCCTGAAGTAACTCCAGCCCTGGAGTACACATCCCAAGGAGACAGCTGGAGGATGTGGTGTGGCACAGCAAAATAACTTGAATTTATTCAGGATTGAAGAGAGACAGGCCATGTTTGCACTCTGGCAGCAGTGGGGCCTGGTGAGGACAGGACTGAGTATTCCCTGCCCACCTGAGTCCTCAGCCATGCTCCAACACAGGCTGTTCTGGGTTTACCCCTCTATATCTGCTCTTGAGCCCTTTGTCTCTGATGCAGTCGCTGCAGCTGAGCCCGGAGCAGCCTCACTTCTGGGCTTCAAGAGTCCCTGTGAGCATGTCGGTGGGGGTGTGCTGAGCCGGTGGCACAACAGCTCACTGCTGCTGCAGTACAGACAAGCACTTGGGTACGTCAGAGCAGGACCAATGTGACCAGCATTGTCTGGTGCTAGCCAGTAGGAAATGCTGAGGACTGTGGAAGGGTAGTAGGGAGGAGATGGAGATCATGCCCTTCTCCTGGATGTAGGCACCTGAGAGTTCTCCACCCATTTGAGATTCACAGCCCCAGGCCCTGGGCTGAAGGTAGGTTCCTGTGAGCTTTACAGAACGAAGCAAGGGTTATACCTTTCTTTTCAAGTACAACTACCAAAGGAGAAAGAATTACCTGTATGTCCTTGACCCAGTTCCCTCTTTGGCCCGAAGGGCTTTGAACCTGCCTTTCCCTTCTCCTAACAGAAGCACCTTAGCCACAAGATAGTAGGTTTGTGACTAGGTGTGGAGTTCCCTCCATCTCTCCTACTGGGGCGGTTTCATTTTGTTTAAGCCAGTGATTCTCAACCAAGTTTTCAAGGCATCCTTGGGTGCCCTGACATCCTTTCCAGCCCACCACAGGATGCCACACAATGTTAGCACTGGTAGGAGAGCAAAGCTTATGCACAAAATGAACCCAGAAACTTCAAATAGGACTTGTTAGGATTAAAAACTTTTGGACTCATCGTGGCCTTTTTGAGTTCTTTGCTCCGTGATTTGTAGTCAGAAGACAAGAGAAAAAGAAAAGCTAGCATTTTTCTGAGGGGACCGTGAGTCTAATGAGACGTACTTTGAACCTTAAAAGGTTGTGAATCACTGATTTAACCAAATTAAAGATTCATTGGGCTGGAGAGAAGAAAAAAAAGCAAGTCTGATTCCCTGGTCTAGCGGTCAGGGCTCTCAGTTATGAGCAGGGGCAGCCCCTGCTCCAAGCACTGCCTGTATCTTTCAATCAATGTATCCTATCAAATACCTCAAGCCACTGGATCAGGTTCAGGAGCTCAGGACTCCTCTCTGTTAGGCGAGTGCCAAAGGGTTCTTCATTCTCCCCGTGGCTTGGGTTTATCTACGGTGCAGCTTTCATTGACATATGTGAGCACTGCTTCATCTAAGCTCACGTACCACGGTGTAGCCACAGAAGCATGGAGCTCAGCACCGGCTGCAAACATCCCGAGGAGCTGAAACTGCTCAGGTAATTGGTCCTCATTGCCCTGCCTCGCCAGTGGGCATGTCTGGATAACTGCAGTAAAGGTTGTGAGGTGCCCACATACCGTGGGAACGGGATATGCCGGTCCCGAAGCCAGACGTTCAGCCCTGAGCACCTCATGCACGCAGCAGAGAGGCCCTTTGTCAGCAGAGGTGTGATTCATTACTAACAGCTCAAGTTGAGCCCTAAGTTATGGTTCGGCTTAAAGAACCAGATCTGATACATACTGCCTCAAATTCATTATTCAGGGTTATGTTTCAGTATCCTGAAGCCTGGAGGGCTGGAGGTACTGCGTAGGGCACAGCTCGCTCTTTATTTTTACTGCCTGTCCCAGGGGAAATTTTCCCCATGTGGCTAATTCACAAAAACATTGTTACAAAACAAGCACAAGTCCTGGAGCTAGGAACAGGTCTTTATGTGTTGGGTTTTTTGGTTTAGTTTTTTTTTTTTCCCCTTGCTTCCCTTTGAATGAAATTCCTGCCAGCTCTAAGGGGGAGCGAGGGAGAGAGTAGAAAGTTTCTTTAACTCCTCCCATTGGAGTCTCTCACGCCCCAGCCCTGCCCAGCCCATGAAACCCAATAACCAAGATCATTCAACAATGCCTTCCCTTCACTAGCTACATCTTTACTACACTTAGGGCTGCAGTGTCTGCTGTGTTTAAAGCAGTCAGATCACCATTTCATACTTGCAGCCCTAAGCTCAGAGGGACAGGGCGAGGGAGAGACTCACAGCTCATGTGGGCTGCAGCTGTGACAAGGATGGACAGACTGCTTTTCTGGTGCACTCTTCTGGCCTCCTCTGCCACTTTCCAGGCAGTGTCCATGGAGCAAGGTGCTGTGCCCTCGTGCCCACCTCAGTGCCACTGTGAAGAAGATGGCATAATGCTCTCAGTGGATTGCTCAGAGCTGGGACTCTCTGAAGTCCCTGCTAACTTGAGTCCTCTAACGGCTTACCTGTAAGTACAGAACTGTCATTTGCTTTGCAGTGCTTTCCCTAGTGCTGTCTTTGGGACATAAGGCAAAACCTTTCCAGTCAGCTGCAGCTTGCTTAGGCTTGGAATTGTGTGTGTCAAATTGTGCTGAAATAAAATTTCCACTGCAAATTAGAAACAAAACAAACGAGGGGAAAAAAAAAAGGCAGCTATTATTTCAGGACCTGCTGAGCCAAGTGCCCCCTCCTTCCCTTGCCCCTCTGCAAATGCTGTTTATATTGTGATGTTATGCATGCTTTGCTTCTTGATTGCAACGGATCAGAGGAGCTAGTTTGCTGGGCAGATTCTGATTGTTTGAGAGCATAATGGAGTATTTATACTGAGCAATTACTGCAAACTGTTCTGGGATCCTTCTGTCAAACATTTCAATAGCTGTGATAACTCAGGGCTTTGGGGTTTGGGGTGTGGGTTGGCCACCAGCAGAGCGTTGGGGTTGTCTGTTTCAAATGAGTATGACAGTTTTATATGGGTTTTTTTTCCCTTTCAATATTCTTCATTTTCCAAATGTTCCTCAACCCTTTGCCCAAAAAGGCACCCAGCAGAGCTGAACGCTGGGAGGATGTTGCAGTTTGAGATCTAACACCAAGGATGGTTCCATGCTTTGTGGGTGAGAGGTGGACAGGGGTGATCTCCTTGAACTTTCTCCATCCTCAGAAGGGGACAGCTGGGGAAGTCAGATGGATGTGTCAGCTTTGCCTAAGCTTGCGTCTACAAGGGTAATATCCCTCCCCGCTCCAGGGGACCAGGCTTTGGTTCTGGCACTCCGTGTGAAAGACTACATATTTATCCACAGCAAATTTAGCAAACGTTCAACACAGGATGAGAAGAATCTTGGATTTCGCAATTTAGGGACAGAACTGAGGAGAATCTATTCAATACGGCAGCTATGCTGTATAACCCCCAATGGCAGTAGGTTATGGTGAGTGGCCTGTCAGTGCAAGCAGAAGTATTGTCTAGTGCTTAGAGCAACGGGCAAGGAAGGGGACACAAGTTGTGGCTCATCCTCCAGACAGTGTGACGGAGTTCCTTAACAAAGTCATTGCCTTCCTCTGTGCCTCAGGGTCCCTGTCTGTAAAATGGGGATAATGATCCTGACCCACCTGTTTTGAAGTGCATTGGATGGAAGGTGCTACAGAAGGGTAAATCTTCCTCCTACCCCACTCCACTTAGAGGGCATCTAGTCCCGTTCTACACCTCTCTCTCGCAGGGTCTCAGGTGGCATGCGTGCAGAACGGGTATTGCAGTGGGGGAGAATGGTCTCATTCAGAGGGGATGTCCAGGGCAGCTGCCTGGGAGGTCTGCATAGAGGGAAGGGAAACGTCTGTCACTCCAGGCAGTCTCTGACAGTAGGAGCTTCTCACCCTAACACACCTTGTAGCCAGCTCTGGTCCCATCTGCATGTGAGCGTTCGTGAATAAGTAATTCCAGCTCTGGAGTGGGAGTCCAGGGGATGTGATACATTATAAATGCAGGATGCCGCAGGGCTCAGCTAAGCCCATGCTATATTGTGATGACAAATGAAAGCCCCAGCAGTCCCATCTTTTAATTCTTTTCAGGACTTCTGCATTGCTCCACTCCAGCCCAATGAGGAGCTCACTCTTGCCCTCTCTGCATGCTTGAAGGTAATTCCCCTTTCCCAGGATAAGCTGGAGGGCTGCTCTTAGTACTGCCCTGGCCAGTGCACACCATGCACTGACTAACCCCTGCCTGTATCAGTTTGCTGCACTAATTATCAGGCCAATCCAAAATCCTCAGCTATACTCACCAGAGAAAGAGTGCGATGGCCCTGGTACAAGAGCCCTCTTATGCAGGACTATCACTAGCCACTGCTGCACCTGTGTGCAGTGGGGTGAGAATTGCCCCAGGGATATTTTAAAGATGCATTTCAGCCTGATTTTCAGTGGTGTGAGGTCTCTGGGTGCTGCAGATGGTTATGCGCCTCAAAGAATCATGCTGTTTCCAGGTGAATTCAGACTCGCCCTCCAGGCACTGAGGTCTGTGAGTTTTCCTGGTGCATTAGTCATTTCCCCCATGCCCATCCCAAGGTACCAGCGTCTCTCAGCAGCATTGCTACACAAGTTAGCCGCCTCGCTGTGCTTTCCTAGGGAGATTTCCTGTGGGACATACATTAACCGACTTTGCACATGTGGTGGCGCCATTGACAGCAGTTTGGAGGAAACACCAACAGTGTAGCCTCTGGACCCCCTCACCCCACTGGAGAAGCCTGCTGGGGGCAGCTGTCTGTTTTAAAAGCCCTCCTCCTCCATAGCCAAGGGGCTGAAAAGTCTCGCCCCTTTGCAGCTTTTCTTACACGCTATACCCAGGTAGGGGAATGTCAGCAAGGTTAAAGGATTTAATCAGAAGGCAGAGCAGATGTGCACTTTGTAGGCTAACTGAATAAGATATCTGTAGAGCACAAGCTTTCATGAACCCAAGTTCACTTTATCAGATCTGTGAAAAAATGTAGAGAAAGCAGAGTATAAGAAGGAGACAGAAACTCGAATACAAAACCAAACGGATTTAATAGCATTTAGCCTAGACTATAAATTAGACATTGAAACCATGTATTCTAGTTATGGGATAAAGCATCTGAGTTGTAG